CCTATGGTAAAGAAAGGAGGCCAGGTGCTGTGGCTCACGCCTGTAGTCCCAGCACTCTTGGGAGGCTGAGGCAGGAGGATCACTTGAGTCCAGGAGTTTGAGGTCACAGTGAGTTATGATCATGCCACTGTACACCAGCCTGGACAACAGAGTGAGACTCTGTCTCAGAGAGACAGAGAGGAGGAGAATTTGTAGCAGGGCCCTGGGGCCAGGAGACACACCTATTTCTAAGGAGAACACAGTGCAGCTTGGGGGAGCAGGGACCGTCACACAGCATCCACCACATTCGTCTCACTCTAGCCTGTCAGCTCCACTGTGGCCACTCCCACGGGGGCAACACATCCCCTTCCCTTGTCACCCTTTCCTCAGCCAAGTTTTCATGCCTCAGGCTGCAGCTCCCCCAGGAGGTCTCCAGCCTCCAGGGAGGGGTGCAGTGTCCTGCCGCCAGGCACCTGTCACAGCCCAGTGTGGCACTCACTAACAGGGCTGTCTCCTCCACCAGACTGTGGGCTCTGGGAGGGCACCATGGGACCCCGTACTGACAGCCTGTACACAGCTGTACCCCACATGTGGCCCAGAAATGGAAAGAAGGAAGGAACGGAGGGAAGGGAGGAAGGAAAAAAGGAAAGAAGAATGGAAGGATTAACTCTCAAAGAAAATGACCCTGGACCAGAATGAGCAGGATTTAGGAAGTGGATTTGGGATTGTTCAAGTACGAGTGTTTCCTAAGCAAGACAGAGATGGACTATATACCCACCTGTAAAGGTGACCCAATATTTGCTAACCCCAAGCTGAAAAGGGAAGAGGGGAGGCATAGCCTCCTGGGGCCATGAAGTCACAGAGCAGGAGGCTGCCCTACCAACATATTTTTTGAGGGAAAAAAATGGAATGAGAGAACATTTGGAAAGAGGGCAGGTTTAACCAGCACGCCAGCTGCCTAAGCTGTCTGTCTGTCAGCCCAACCCTCCCACCTGGACTTCAGCGTGTGGGATGTGGGCCCTGCAGGAATGGAGCCAGGCAGGCGCTTCATGGCATAGCAAAAATAGCTGGGGGAGACGGGGACTGAGGAGAGGAGGAGAGGATGGCAAAAAAAGGAAGAGTATTCTCATTTTAGAAGCAGACTATTTCTGCAAATAAGAGTGAAAATCCTGAGTTATTGCAATTTTGCCATCCAAGTTAAGCAAATCTCTTCACCTTCCTGGGTCTGTTTCCTTACCTGCAAAATGAAGGTGTGGCCCATCTCCAAGGTGTGTAAAACTGTAAAATGGTCTTGTGTCCTCCGGCACCTCCACACCTCTGCGGCTAAGTGTCATGCTAACACAATCTTCCATTTGATTATTTGTTTGTGTGAAGCCAAAGCTATTGGAGAAAGTGGTTTCATATCCCTTCCCTGGCTCTAGTGGCACCTGGCACGCCATCTGTAAAGGGGCATCCTACCCCTGGGGCCAAGAAGGAGCTTACCAAGTATCCATTCCCTCCCTCCCTGGTATTTGATGACTGCTGAACTGCAGAACTTACTGCTGACTTAAACTCAGCCTCTTGTCATTCTTGCAGTTGAGCTATGGATTGTTTGCCAAGTAGGTTTTAAGCTCTTTGACAATCACTAGACATTAGAGTGGGCAGAGCCAACAGAGACGGTGCCTACTGAAGAGAAAACAGAAACCCAGAAAAGTCAGTGCCTTGCTCAAGACCACTGCCAGTTAATGCCAAAGCTCTGCCCTGCACATTCCTCAGCACCCTCCAAGGGACAGCAAAACTGGTTCCTCCTTTCTTCCTCTGTCCTCAGGAAAGGGAAGGCCATGCTCTCCCATTCCCTCACCCCCAGGAGCTGGACATCCCAGGGGAGACAGTCCACATGCACAGTAACTGCTTCTCTTCTCCTCGTCCTACGCTCCCAGGAGCTGCTGCAAGACTTCAGGATGCCCCTCGACAGCCCCTTCCCTGCTGCACTGGGCATAGCCACCCTGCGACCACCTTGCTCCCAACATTTGCAAGCCCCCTGAAACGTCCAAGAGCCTTCATGTTTGTTATTTTGTTTGATCTTCTCCCCACACCTCACACCTGCATCTTTCCCCTGCACAAAACCAGATAAAGTGGACATTGCCTGATTTGCAGCAAGGATGCAAATGATGACCCTGACTTACAGTTGCAAAGTCCTCAGCAGAGTTATCTGCTTAACCCTTTGTTTGTTGAACGTACCAACTTGACCATGCACAGTATGTGAAACTTTAGTATTAGGAAGTTCCTCCTGTCCACCCCCCATCACCCCTCCCCTTCAGCAGCCCCAGGGCCTCAAACCCCCAAAGTCATACTTACAGTTTGCAAAATAATTCACCACAAGTAGGCTGAGTTTAAAGCTAGGCAGGTAAAAAACAACCCTTCACCTTCACTCTTATACAGAGCTGGAATGTGCAAGCTTCTCCACCTCTCTCATACCTGTCTCCCCAGCATTAAGCACCATTCCTAGCACATTAAGCATACATCATGGAGTGAACTTCTCAGGGGCTCTGTTCCCAATGAGACACAGCCGTGGGGCATGGAGAGTCCAACCATACACAGATAACATGCACAGGGTGTTATTAGAACACCTATGCAGAACCACTGCAGCACTAGGTCAGGAAAGGCATCTCGGTGATGCGTCTTCTGTGAATAAAGTGACTGCACTTCCCGTGTGAGTCCCTGGTCTTCAGCAACTGCAGTCTGTCAATCCTTTCACTTAGGTTGAAAATCCTCTAACTATATTAATATGTGTGAGGAAGCCAGCTTGAACACTGCACATACATTGATACCTTTTCCAAACATCTTGAACACAAGGCAACATGGTATAGGAAGCACCTTGCCACCCACCTCCTTGCCTCCAAAGCTGAGCATTTGCAGCTGCTGTGGTGAGGCAGGGCACCGATGGATGCAGACTGCTAGGAACAGTGGCCTGGATCCCACAGGAGCAGCTGGAAATTGAAAACCATTGGAACGTACTTTGGGTTAGCAGAGATGACCTTGAAAACACAGGACTGCAATCTGCAGGGGACTCACGGCTCAACGGGGAAAACAGAAGAGCCGAGCACCAGGCAGTTCATGCTGGAGGCTGGCCAGGGGTCTCCCACCCTCTCCCAGCAGGGGCAAAGCGTAAGGAAACTACACAGCTGCCAAGGGCAGCTAAGAAAAGCAGCAGTGCGTGGAACTTTGCTTTAAGTGTGCTGAGTGCAGGAAGATGATCAGAGAGAAGGGAAGAAGACGTACTATGAGGCATTATTCGATGAGCAGCAAAGGCAGGCACTTTTCTGGCCTTTGCTTGTTACGTTATCGTGACTATTTAGTATTTGGAGAAGCTGTGTGTGAAAGGGTGGGCTGCCAAGAGCAGACAGGCAGCAAAGCCTGTTGCACGTCACAATGCTCTCTGCCTCTGTACCCCTTGGGAGAGGAGAGGATTTGAGGCTTTTATGCATTATACTTACTGGAATGCCCAAGAAAGAAAGGAGGTGCCTAATTGGTCCTACAAAGTTCTCAACCCTGTCTACCCATCAAAATTGCCGGGGGTGGGGGGGAGCTTTTATAAAATTACAAGTATTTGGGCCTCATTCCAATTAATCAATCTCTAAATTTTTTTAAAAAATAAACCTTAACCTGTAGGGTTAAGAAAATCTCTAGGCTATGCTAATCAACCCCCAAGAATTCCAAGGTGAACAGATAGTTTCTGTAAGTGGAACATAGGCAGAGGGGCCCACTCTAATAGCAAATTCAGGATGGGCAACCCATCAAGGTATAGCCCAGAGGACCAGATTTACTGCTATACTTACTTAATAAAAGTTTACATATATTAAAGTACCCAGTTTGATATAGCTTTCTCAAGAATATATAGCTTTCTCAAGAGCTGCCGTGGGACCAGGAGCTAGTCTAGCAGATGCTTCAAGCCAGAATAGTCAGGCTAGGAGAGGAATGTCATGACCACATCATTACTGCCTCCCTCCAAGACTAGGACCAAGCATTTGTATGGCCCTGCTAGGCAGGGAAAGGGTTTGTAGGCATTCAAACAAAGAGGTAGTTGGGAATCACTAAAAGAAAATAAGGTGCTTTCTCTTTTCTATATGTCTTGATAATCCCTTCCTTAGAAACTGCTGACTATTGCTATAAGGTTGGGCAAGACAGAAATATTTTGAGCAAAAGTCCAGTCTAGCTGGTAAGTCCCACTCGGTATTATAAGTAACCATTAAGTTACATTTCTGAGAATGAGGGAAGAAAATACTTTGTTATGTGATTCAGGAATACATTTTTTATAGATTAGAGATGAGACTGTCTCCCTTCTCCATAACTACCTGTCCCTGACCGCCTCCCAAAGTCCCCCACAGATTGATAAAGAATAAAGACACAGATCTTTGGAAACTGAGACCAGTGCATACCAGGTATAACATTAACACATTCCCAATATCCCAAAGCCACATTAGCATGCAAGCATTGCACTCAATTACTGGTTAGGATGGGAGACCATTCAGACATCAGCCATTAGCCAATTCAGGATCATCTGGGACCCACTTGAACATCCTTGTGCAGGAGTCAGCAAACTTTTTCTGTAAGGGTCCAGATAGTGAATATCTTAGGATGTGGGCCACATAGCCTCTGTCATAACTACTCAGCTTTGCCATTGTAGTGTGAAAGTAGCCATACACAATATGTAAACATGGTTGAATGGGTAGGTTGTATGCATTCCAATTAAAGTGGGTTTTTTTTTTTAACTTTTTAAAAAATTAATTAACTTTTTGAGACAGAGTCTGGCTATGTTGCCAGGCTGATCTGGAACTCCTGGGCTTAAGCGATCCTCCCATCTCAGCATCCCAAGTAGCTGGGACTACAGGCACATGCTACTATGCCCAGCTCAATAAAATTTTATGAGCAAAAAGAAAGCAGACCAAATTTGGTAATTTGCCAACCCTTGTTGTACCAGAACATAGCTTCCACAGATCAAGCTGACATTTCATGGGTGACAAATAAGAAGAATGACATGGTAAAAGACTGATATGGATTTAATGACAAATATTCCATATTGGTTGCTGAACACCAGAATTCTGTCCAAGGAACCATAATTAAATAAAACAACCTGAAAATAAGGCAATTCTTACATACACAAGCACACACTCACACAAAACCTGTTACTTTTAGGAGCATTAAATTATTCACTATTTTAACAAACAGCTGTAAAATAACAACATTACAATGAAGGAAAATGTGCACAAACTTCGGAAACAATTCAGATTGTCTATGAACACAGGTTCTTAATTTGTACTTTTTCACATATGTACAGCCTCTTGATTGTAAAGAGACGACATGGCTCAAGGGGTTAATGTCTCATCTCCTTTCAACTCAGAGCTGGAGATTTAATCAAAACCATTTAGCCTATTTAAACTGCTCCAGGTTTTGCTTAGAAAAAGGCAGCAGAGGAAGACTGCTCTTGACCAAACTCTCCAGGAAACAAATAATATACTGGCCTCCACCATCATTAATGAGTTGGTGGAAGGAGTCTTCAGATTAATATTTTCAAGGGTGAACCACAGGTAACAGGGTTTGCTGAAGATATACTATTATTCTAAACCTAGATATAAGAAACAACTTCCTGAATGCATTTAACCTCACTTAATGCAGATGTTCCCTGAAGAGTTGCAAGAAAAATTGAATCACATTTTAAATGCACCAATAGAGTGGGGTGTTGGTGGTTGAACGGTTTTCTTCTGCTAAGGGATTTGCTCACAGAAGGAATAACAACATAGTGGCTGATTCTCTTATCCGTGGTAACAGGAAAAACAAGAGGCAAATGAAGTCTAAAGATTTCCATGACCACTAAATTATTTTACATTAGCTTCAATCTCCACTCCTTGTTGAACCCTTGATATGTAGTATAGTTGATACAGATAAGACTGTTCATGACAATGGCAGCAAAAGACCAAATAACCTATAAAGTGGATAATCAACCCATGAATAATCAAAAGGTGGATGAGAGTTCATAGGCACAGACTTGAGAGAACTTAAAACAGCTGGAAGAGGTAGATGTGCATGGAAAAAACCCACAAAGGAGTAAGATCACCTACAAATTGGCTATATTATTTTCCAATGGGTCTTATACACTTAGTATTCAGACTGCAAGAGTCAGAATTAAGAATGGACACTTGCTTTGCTTGTGTTACTCTTGACTAAAAGAAAATGAAAAAGAAGTAACGTCTTTCAAAACTGTCCATAGTTTGAAAATCTATTTGCATTTGTGAATAACAATAAACTGATTAAGAGGGCAAGATTAGCAGGCATTATACAAGCCCAGAATTATCAGGATTTTTTAAAAAGTGTTTTTATTATGACAAAAACATGCTTTCCTACAGTCCCCAAAGAGGTTCTTTACTAGAATACAACTGATCACGTATAAATTACTAGCATCCACAGAAATTTTGCTAAAACTGTAAAAACAATTTTTAGGTTTTTTTTTTTCCCTTCAACTATGTCCAACAGTTTGTGAAGATGCTTCCATGAAAGGTATAGGGTAACAATTGCTAGTAAAGAAAACAATACTGCTTTCCACAACTCTAACTTCTAAAGGCTAACCTAAGGGAGGAACTTTCAGCATTGGTAACTGAAATCTATACAAGAGGCATCTAACTACAGCCCCCTACTAGAAAGGGAACATAGCTAGGATACCTTAATTAGGTGACAAAGACCAGCTTTGCCAATTAAGGACATCTTTGGCCCTTCTAGGCTAGCCTTAAGTTTTCCATCAAGCATAACAATTTTCAGTGTCCTTATTCCATTATATAAATCATGACTGACAGGTAAGTGCTCCTAGCAGCTGAGCTGGAGAACGCAAAAGGTCAGACCACAACTATTCACACTGTCATCAGCCTGCTTTCTTCAGGACAGCTTGACACACTCCTATCCCCAGGCCTTCCCTAAGAAAGGGGTCATAATACTGATCTACCTCACAATGCTGTGAGAAACAACTAACAATCATTAAAAAGCATAAAGCACTTTGCAAATACCAAAGTGCGATTTTGGCATCTATATAATCACCAGAGAACATTCATTGCTTGTGCTATTTGGCAATTTTGCATTTATACCTCTCCCTGACTGTGCCTTCTTTGTGGAAAGCCTTGAGATTTTCTACTGTGCCTCCACATGTAGGAAGAAGACTTTCCTACTCGGACTAAATCCCTCATCAGTATGGATGGAGGTGGGGGTTAGTGGGGACAGGGTACACAGATGCAAACTGAAGGCAAATGAGACAGAGGAGCCTTGCATCCCAACATGTGAACGTCTGGCTTTCCTTGATTTCTCACTTAAAGGCCAGCAAAACTCTGAGCTGGCTGCCTTTTGTAGCAGGTCACTAGGGCAACTGTTGATGGCCTGAAGTGTACTTGAAACACATGCACCATGCTGATCTAGGAAAGTCACACATAGCTGAGATTGTTCCTTTTCCCTGCACTTAAAAGATCACATGTGAGACCTGAAAGAAACAGTGGGTGTGGCACATACCTGGGATGAGGGGAGGGGGCAGGAGGCTGATCATCCAGATAGACAACCTTGACTCAGCATGAAGCTAGAGTATTTTCAAGGAAGTAGGAAAGAACCAGGAGCAGGACCAAGATTTCCCAGGAGATCTGACAACCAGTTATAAATGAATTTCTAAGTGCTAGAGGTTGCCCCTTTAAATGAGAGTGTGTAGATTTCTGCCCAGTTTCCCCTGGATACCTCGAAATAGCAGCTAACTGTGGCTCAGAGAAAGGAAGGGAAGAGAATGCTAAAAATCCTCTCTCATGGGATCAACAAGGTTCCCCTACTTTTTGTGAGACTATAGGTGATGTGTGAGGACAGAGCAAACACTGGCTTACGACCTGGTAGGACCAGGGTAGAATTACTTACACCTGCGTTTTATTTTACCCCATAACCCTCACGCCAACCATACCCTCTCCCTCTATTGCCTGCTACCTGTTCCCACCCTGCCCCCCAACTCCCTTCCTCAAGATCCTCAAAGCTCCTGCTCTCCACACTCCTCACCCCCTCCCTACAGCATGTACTCCAGGAAGTCATCACCTCAAGCACATCTCCCAAACGTTTTTTTTCCCCCATGTTGAGGAGGTGGGCAAAACATAGCACCCAGAAAGAACTCAACCCTCCCCTTCAGCCACCCCTAACACCAACAGGCTCTGTAGTCACTCTCAGAACGGTCCTCCCGCCCCTTCCCCAGGGTCCGTCCCCGGACATCCACTCCCCACATGCTCCCGCGGGCCCAGCCCTAGCACAGGTGCAGCTTCTGGTGCTGCGCGAGGTGCGTCTTGTAGCGGAAGCCTTTGCCGCAGCCGGCGCACTTGTGCGGCTTGTTGCCGGTGTGGATGCGGCGGTGGCGGATCAGGTGCGAGCTCTGAATGAAGCTCTTGCCGCACTCGAGGCACGTGTAGGGCTTCTCGCCCGTGTGCGTGCGCTGGTGCTGCGTGAGCGTGGAGAAGTCGCTGAAGCGCTTCTCGCACTGGCCGCAGCGGAAGGGCTTCTCGCCCGTGTGCACGCGCAGGTGGTTGACCAGGTGCGAGTTGCGCCCGAAGCCCTTGCCGCACTCGCGGCACACGTAGGGCCGCTCGCCCGAGTGCGTGCGCTTGTGCGTGAAGAGGTGCGAGCTGACGCTGAAGGTCTCGCCGCACTCGGAGCACATGTAGGGCTTCTCGCCCGTGTGCACGCGCTGGTGCTTCACCAGGTCCGAGCGCCAGCTGAAGCGCTTGCCGCACTCGCCGCAGCCGTGCGGCTTCTCGCCCGTGTGGATGCGCTGGTGGTTGGCCAGGTGCGAGCGGCGCACGAAGCCCTTGCCGCACTCCCCGCAGGCGAAGGGCCGCAGCGCCGCCGCCCCCGCGCCGCTGGCCGCCGCGTGCGCGCGCCGGTGGCTGAGCAGGTGCGAGCTGAGGCTGAAGGCCTCGCCGCACTCGGGGCACGGGTAGGGCTTCTCGCCCGTGTGCAGGCGCCGGTGCTTGAGCAGGTCGGCGCGCCAGCTGAAGCTCTTGCCGCAGTCGGCGCACAGGTTGGGCCGCTCGCCCGTGTGCAGGCGCAGGTGGTTGGTCAGGTACGTGTTGCGGCTGAAGCCCTTGCCGCACTCCCCGCAGCGGAACGGCTTCTCCCGCGGCGGCCGGGCCAGCGCGGGCCCCGCGCCGAAGCCACCCGCCACGCCCACACCCATCATCCCCACCATGGCGCCGCACTCGCCCGCGAAGCCGAAGGGTTCCAGGCTGGCCGCGGCGGCGGCCTCCGCCAGGCGGTGGATGCGCTGGTGCTGCAGGAAGGCGGCGCCCGGGCTGAAGCTCTCCCCGCAGTCCGGGCAGATGGTGGGCGCGTCCATGATGCTGGCCACCAGGCTGTCCAGCTCCCCGAGGTCCACGGCCATGGGGTGGTGGAGCCGGTGGAAGCGGCGGTGGGCAGTCTTGTCACCCCGGTGCCGACTGCCCAGGGAGAGGTGTCGCCTCCAGGGCAGCACTGGAGGGGGTGGCTGCTCCTCTTCCTCTAGCCGGTTCTCCCCAGCACTCTCCTCCTCCTCGTCCTCCTCTTCCCGGGGGCTCCGGGATATGCTGTCTGACTCGGACAGTCCTGGGAACATGCCCATATCAGCTACCCCAGCTGGGTCATCCTCTTCCTCCCGGAGAGCCACCCCTTCTTCCTCACTTAGCAGCCCCTCTGCAACAGAAAAGGCGGCAGTGAAGGTTACTATACTTGGCACTCAAAAGGTAGGTGAGCCCAGAGGAAGCAGTCTCAATAGTAAGAGTGTGGGCCAAGGAGTCATCCTCATTTCCCGGGCTGAACACTCAACTTCCACTCCTCCAAGTCCCCTTGCCTCCTTCCACCTGGCTCCTCCAGGGAAAGGCCTAAAGGAGGGTGCACTCACTGGCCGCCTTTGTCCACCAGTCCTTCAGGCAGCTGCTTGGGGCCCTGGCCCCACTCGATGTACCTGAGCCACTGCCTAGCAGAGCCATCTGAAGGCCTGACAGTCTGTGCTTGAGATGGTCACCCCTGTGCCAGGTGGGACTCCGTGGGATTGATCTAAGGAGAAAAGGGTTGCTCACTCCAAGAGCTTCCAATGCCTTTTAAGGCTCCTGCCTCAAAAGACAAGGCCAGTGTGGCCTAACCAGGCCCTGGACTGATTTTTAAAATATGTTTGGTCAATCCCGAATGGCTTAAGGTGGCACAACAAACTGAACTCACCTGATAGACTTTCCTGCGGATGGGGGAAGGAGGTGCTGGTATTGGGAAGGGGGGAAGGGAGCAGAGCCTCAAGCTGGTGAGCCCAGGTTAGAGGCTGGCCCAGGAGCTCACCTGTTGGTCTCTGGTTGTTTACCCCACTCCAGGAAGTGGCTGAGATATGAAAGGTCAAGCACTGTGGGGGAGGGCAGCAGGGAGGCTGGGATAATATGTGTGTGTGTGTGTGTGTGTGTGGGAGGAATGTTACCTCACAGTCCTGGCCATAAAGTATTTCTGCTCATTTCTGTCCCCAGAGCATGCACTGAGCAGGGGAAAGCAATAATGCCCAAAGAAACAAGGAGGTGGGTGGAGGCCCAGCATTCACTCTTTCGGGTCAGGAATAGCAAGGGAATTAGCAGAGGCCTTGGGCACTTTGGAAATTAGCCACATGCACCTAGGCAGGTCACTTACTGAGTTTACTTATCTGCAAAGGGAGATAAGGACTGTAACTGTAAACATCTGGGTATTTTCTATTTGCCTAGCAGTGTACTAAGTAACTTTTTTTTTTTTTTAAATCTGAGACAGGATCTTGCTCTGTCGCCCAGGCTGGAGTGCAGTGGTGCAGTCATAGCTCATGTCGCCTCCAACTCCTGGGCTCAAGTGATCCTCCTGCCTCAGACTTCCAAGGAGCTGAGATTGCAGGTGTGTGTGTCACTGCACACTCCACCGAGCTAATTTTCAAAAACTTTCTGTAGAGACAGGGTTCTCACTATGTTGTCCAGGCTGATCTCAACTCCTGGCCTCAGTGATCCTTCCACCTCAGCCTCCCAAAGCTTTGGGATTACAGGTGTGAGCCACACAGGCGTGAGCCACTGCACCCAACCTAAGTAACTCTTTATTTGCAGCAACTCAATTAACTCTCCCAACAACACTATGAGGTAGGTTCTAATACTACCTGGGTAATTCTACTGTAGTGTTATTATGGGTATTAATTTATAGCAGCATTCTCTATGCTGTGAAGTGCAGCGCCAGCGAGTGAGACTCTTCACCCATGTTTACTAACACAGCCCACCTCAAACTGTATTGGAGAAGAGGATGTTCCTTGGGACTAACACCAGAAAAGCTAAGTTAGTACAGAATCTGCTTTGTGGTCTCCTCTAGAGAGCTCCCCCCAGACAGTGCTGCCCCTGGTTATGATTCTAGAGGCACCAGAAGTTAATGTGAGTGGGGTGACTTCCATACAAATTCCAGCTTCCTCCTCACCTGTGCAGACATCCGGCACTACCTCTCTCCCCCTGGAGTCCTGTGGGTTGGAGCCCGTCTCCAGCTCTGGGTGGCCTTCTTTCTTGTCTGTGTCCTGTGGATTAAAGCCCATTTCTCTTTCTTCTGGGTCCCCTTCCCTGTCCTCAGAGTTCTCAAAATCGGAGCCCATTCCTTTGTCTTCTGAGTCCCGGCGTTCACACACACCCCGATGATAATCTTGTTCCATCCGGGAAGAAAAGGACAAGGGAAGTGACCAGGGATCCCTGCTCCAGACAAAACACAAGAGAAAGGTCATGTCAGTCTGGCCTTATCCCCTCACCACGTCCAGCCTTGATTTCCCAGGAAAATGTGTAGAGTTCCAAGCCCCAGATGGCAAACCTCCACTCCAACCTCCCAAGGAACCCCCAACCCTCATTTTAAGGTAAACAGCAGAATGCAAAGGAGAGTGGTCTTGGTGGCAGAGGAGCAATGGCAACCTCATTCTGATGCCACCTTTCATTGGACCCAAACTTGATCTGCTTCTGTCTAGGAAGCAGTGGTCTATTAGTGTGGTTTTATAGTTTAACATGGAGATAGCTATTCCCATTTTACAGCCCACTTGAAGCTCAAAAAGAAGACCCCACTAGCCTAAGGCTACATAGCATGGAAGCTGTATAGAGTGGGGCTTAAACCAGTTGTGCTGCCTCAAACCGGTTGTGCTGCCTCCATGTTTTCCTTACTCTTATGCTTGCTTTCCTTCAACCCACAGCAGTCTTGCAAGTATTTTGGCTAATTTTGTGCAGGCCTTTAAAAAGCCAGAGGAAAAAATACAAAGTACATTCAAGACACAAGAATAACAGAAGCATTAAGTAGGGGAACTTCTTATCTAAGACCAGGTCACCAATGGCTCCACCAACCTGGCTTTGTAGTGAGGATCTGCTGTCTTGCTGGGAGCAGTGAGCCAAGATTCAAGCTTTAGTAGGAAAGCTTGGGGCAGGAAGATGAGATGCAGGGACCTTCTATGGTGGAAGCCATCACTGTAGTCCTAATCACATATTTTACAGTGTCTGAATTGTAGAGAACACGGATATGCGCGCCAGGGATAACTGATAACCCCTCTATAGAAAAGGCCAACGTGTGAACTCTAGGGAGAAAATGACATCAGATTCCTAAACCTTTTGTAGATGTCATGTTTACATTTCAAATTTAAAGGGCCCCCTGCCAAGACTGAGCAGTTGAGCCAAAAATAATTTCTTTCTGCCATCCATCACTCCTACAGCTTAGCTCAAGGCAGCAACACAGTTTCTATGTGGAGGATCTTGGACGATGACTTTGAAGAGACCAGTTCTCTCTCCACCTCAGCAGTCCCCAAAGAGGACTGCAAGAATATGGCTGACCAAATTACCTTTCCTTGGCTGGGAGCTTTCCCTGCCCTGCTGAGGCCTGCCCTGGTGACAAGCAGAGGAATTTCCGGCTGGGTTGGCCTCACTGTAGAGCCCAAGGCAAGTCAATTAACCTCTCCCGGTTTCCCCATCCCCCTCCGGTTTCCCCATCCCCCTCCGTGGAAGGAGGGTAATGCTACTTAACCTTTCTCACAGGGAGGGTGTCAGAAGGAAACTAATTAAAAAGCACTTTGGAAAATACTGCAGAGAGTAATTGATGCTCTGAGTTTTACAAACAAATGTGGAATATACACACTATTCCTCTTTTTAAGTCCCGATGTCATTCCAGCACACCTCTGTAGTTTTGGCAGACACATCACCCTAAACAGCCTCCTAGATTCTTTCTAAGGGATGATGATACGCTCCCTAGATTAGAATGAAAAATCGAGCCCTTCTCTTAAATGTCCCAGGAAAATGGCTGCATCTGAGGTGGGTTAGTCAACATGTCCTGAAATGCCACTGAGTTCCTTTGGAAGGTATACTCTTTGAAATGCCAGGTTTCCAACACTTGCAGATTTCTTCTCAGACTGGAGGAGAAAAATATCATTAAAGCCATAAACCTCTTAAGAGGTGTATCCCACAAGAGACTACTGACCCCAAATCACTTCTGCTCATCACTCTGTTGCTTCCTGGAGCTCCGCCCCAATGACACGTATGTCTCTACAGATACTATGCACCTGAGGTGGAGGTGGACAGGCAAGGCTAGGATCTTCAAACATGACCTATTGGTTTGCTAGTGGAGAAAGGCAGTGGAGAGAGAAGGGGGAGGGGGAGCTGATCGATGGTTTCTGCCAATCTGAGACCAGCAGGAAGGTTTCTGCATCAATAAGATAAATCATACCTAACAGGTACAGTGTGCACTATCTGGGTGATAGGCACACTAGTAACTTTGACTCAAGCAGTACAAATGCAATCCATGTAACCAAAGCATTTGTATCCCTGTAATACTATGAAATTAAAAAAAAAAAAAAGTGGAAATGACACTGAATGCAAAAAAAAAAAAAATGTACGGAACTCAGTCTTCTGAAACTTGATCTTGGACCTGATCTAAGTTTCACTGCCTGGTTTATGCCATACCTAATAATATTTGAAATGACATTTTGTGGCTTTTTTTTAATTTAAGATTTTTATTGAAAAAAAATTCAAGTAAGCATGTTACCAGAAACTGAAAACTAAAGTGGCATGGCATGGTACCCAGCATGGTACAGAGGTGACTGCAGCTGTCCACCCTGAAGGGCAAGATTTGAGGATCCAACCCAGGATGCAGGGAGCAGGGCTTCACCTCCAAGCCCTTTTAAGGACAGGCTGCCCAGAGAGCACCTCCGACATAGCAAGAATGGAACAAGAGATAATTCATATCAGAAATATTAAATACAGAAACATTGTTGTCCTAGATTTGAAGGGGGAGGGGTGGAGTCTGAGTTCCCCACCTAGGCTGGCATACAGAAAGTTCACAGAGCTGCCTCAGAATTAAGGCAGTTTCAGAACTCCAAAGGAAGTACTTCCTGATCCTCATTCACACCAGGGCAGTAAGGATCAGGCATGCTCTGAAAAGGGCTGGAAGCTCCTGTCACCCAGACAAGACACAATTAAAGGACCAACAACTACTCAAATTTGTTTAAAAATGTGTTAGTACAAAACTGGAAACCTGCATGCCCAACAACATGGATTAAGTTCCACTCACACCAGTTGTAGGCAGCTGCCAAATAATGGGGAAGGCTATTCAGAGGTAAGGAGACGTGGTCATAATATATTATTAGATGAAAAGTGGCTGGTTTAAAAAATATAAATATGTCATTGTGGTTTATTATATGCACACTAGCATATATATTTACACATGTATACACACAGGTTCAGAGAGGAAGTTATTAAAATGTTAAACACCTCTTGTTCACCTCGGGGGTTCTGCAGCTATTAACTCATTTAATCTTAACAAAAACCCAGTGAAGAAGGATATGATTTCCAACTGCATAGACAGGAAACAGGCACAGAAGTGACTGGCCCAAAGTCCTACAAATTATAAGTTGCATCTCAGGGATTCATACCCCTGCAGTCCAGCTCCTGTGCCCACATTCTTAACCAAAGCTGGTGTGCAGTTTGGGAAAATGTGTCCTTTTTGTGTACATCTATATTTTCTACAATAAACATGTATTTTTATCAGGAAAACGTTGGTTTTAACGTGATAAAATATGTTCAAGGAAAACTTATAATTATTCTAGAAGCAACAAAAAAGAAAACAAGAGCAGGAGTTGTGATAACCTCAATCTAGAATACTTAATTTTCAGAAATGTTATTGAGACATGATGGAATAACTAAAGTGTCAGTAGATATTCAGGCATGTTTTGTTCCAACTCCTTTCCTACTCAATTGCAAAATAAAAACTAGCAACAGTGTTTTCTTAGGCAAGGCCAGGGCTGGACAACAAGTGAGCAGCATGGCAGTGTGATAGCTCTGTGGTCAGACTGACCTGGATTCGAATCCGCAGCTCATTATCAGCTCCTTTACCTCAAGCAAGATACTTAGCCTTGATTCTGCATCCATAAAAACAAGCATGCTACCACCTACCTTGCAGCGTTGTTCTGAGAGCCACATAAGATTAATGTTTGTAAAAGCTGCTGGCATGTTAGAGATGCAATCAATGGTAGTTATAACTATTATGAAACTTCAGCCAACTTTTTGACTTAAGAAATTACACACAGGCCAGACTCGTTGGCTTGAATCTCTAATCCTAACCCTTGGGAGGCCAAGGCAGGAGGATCACTTAAGACCAGGAGTTCAAGGTTTCAGTGAGTTATGATCGTGCCACTGCGCTCCTGCCTGGGTGACAGAGCAAGACCCCATTTCTTTAAAAAAAAAAAAAAAAAAAATTACACAAATTGGGGGTCACCAGTTCACAGCCGTATTCACATAAGGTGGCCTTTGGCAAGTACAAGCAAAGCAGAGCTTCCCCAGGCCTTGCTGTTAGAGGCTCTATTAATGAACAACCCACCATGTGGAGACAAGAACCAGGGAGGGGCTGGTTGCTTAGGGCAGCTTGTTAGAGGGAGAAAGGTTCAATTCCATATTAGTTCGCAGCTGCTGATAGCCCATCGTGTATACAGAGTGTAGGTCTAAAGCTAAATGAGGTGTGGGTGTGTGCTTCAATACACCCTGACTGATACCATCTGTAAGGGAGCTCTCTTCCCCCAGTAAGAAAGGATAGAAGTTAAAGGGGGAAAAACAACAGAGTAGTGGGAGCAGTCAGGCAGACAAAATTAATTCCACATCTAGTTCTAATCATTGAGGGAAACAAAAGAGCAGTAAGCAGTAACGAGAGGCTGTGTGCTGTGTGACTCTGAGTAAGTATTTGCCCTCTCTGACCTTCTGTTCAATGAGAAGTTTAGGTTTGAATGTGCCTGAGTCCTCTTCTAGCACTTACATGACACTTACGCAGGTGAGTTAATCCAGGTGGGCACCACTGTCAGTGTCATTAGACATTTTCAGCTCCAGCTTGTTTTCTTAACTCACACAGAAACTCTTATTCGCAAAGCACCGCACCACCACCATGGCAAAACCTTCCTCTTGGATGCAGATCGCTTCAGGATGGGACTGAGCAGCTTCACCAAGACTGCCCAAATCCGTTTCTAGAATTTGCAATACTTTCAGGTTCCTTCCTCCAACCCTATAGCCTCAAGTCAAAAAATAATAATATTTATTACCCTATAAAGTCACTAGGAAAATGCTCATGTGCCTTCTAGACAAACTCAACTCCGTTTCAAAGACGAATCAGATCACTTGGAAGACACTGCTACACAGTGGAGGTATTAATAAATGTGATAAGGTATCCTTAAAAAAAATGGAAAGAAAGAAGAGAGGTAGGGAAGGGAATGAAGCGGGGGAAGGGTAAGTGAAGCTAGTAGCAGAGCCAGAGTTAGAATTTAACCCGGTTTAAGGGCACACTCTCCCAGTGGCCCCCCTAGGGCTACCTGCAAAACCTGTCCCTTTTGAACAAGAGGTCGGCCACTTTACGGATTTAACCTAAAGTCCTGTGACAGGGCTGGAGCAGAGGAGCGCACACCGCTCCCCCGCCGTCCTGGATTTCACAGGGAAACCAAAGCCAGAAGTAGTACCAAGTGTCCCAGCCTCCAAAAGACGAAGCAGTGGCTGAGCGCCGCCTTCCCCGCAGCGGCAGCGCGGCGACCTGCGCAGGACCCCGCTGCCAGCCTCCTGGCCTGCAGGGCCCCGGCCTGGCGGGGGCGTGCTGGAACCCGCGCAGCTTACACTACACTTTAGCAGGTGTCTCTCCTTTGACTCCAGTAACTCTGCGGGGTAAACTGGGGTGACCCATTTTACGCGGGAAGAACACTGAGACTCAGCAAAGCTGAGCCCCACGGGGCGTAGAGTCAGGACTCAACCCGGGGTCTACGCCACCGGCTCCGCGCCATAGCTTTTTCCCCTGGCCCGGGCTCCTCTGGAAGGGGATGGCTGGGGAAGGCGTTTGGACTGGGAAGAGCGTTTGGCTGCCGACGCAAAGGGAGGGGACACGGGGGCGCACCTGGCAGCCCTGGCAGAGGGAGAGGGCCGGCCTGAGAGCACACACCTCTGCCCACCCCTGCACCCCGCCTGCCCCGCGCTGCCCCGGGACGAGGCGGGCGGGGACAGTCATGTGCCGCGGCCACTGCCAGGTGGCGGGCGGCCAGGCCGGCAGGGCTGTCATGTCAGGGGAAGGAAGCAGCCCGGCGGCGGGCGGCGGGCCAGGAGGGGCTCCCACTCAGCCTCCTCCAGACTGCAGCGCCTTTCCTGTCTCCCACTCATCTCTCGGGGCCCTTCCTTACCTCCTCGGAGGGGACGCAGGGCCAGCCAGCAACAGATGGAGGCTTCCTCCTCCCTCCTCTTCCCACGCCCCACTGCCCACCACTCTCTCCCAAGGGAGAGTCTCCATAGCAGAGTCCAGGCAGGGACACCCGATTGGGTAGAATGCTGGAAAAACAATTTCAGCCTGCCGTTCGAAAGGCTGAACTCATGACCGCAACTGGGGTCTAACCAGGGATTCCAGGGGTTAATCATTTGTCTGACTTCAGCACCAGCCGGGGTAAACAATCAACTAGCCTCTAGGGGATGTGGCCATCCAGGATCCTCACTGGTGAGTTTATGGTCAGAAAAAACCCAAAGGGGGAAGAAAGCCACCGCCCCCGTGTTTGCAGGGCATGCCCCTAGTGAGCAAGGAATAAGCCCCTTACACAGAATGAGTGGTTCCCCTCAGCTGGCTTTCCCAAGCACAAACCCAAACTGTCCAACTCAAAATGCCAGCTGCTCCAATGCATGAGGGGAACATTAATTCCAGTCCAGGAAAGCCAAAAGATTTCTGCGGCTAAGTGTTGACCATTCTCCAGACAGGAGGAGCTAAAATAATATGGTTCCTGCTTTGTGGTTACTGCTTTTTTTTTTTTTTTTTTTTTGACCTGGAGAGGGAAGCCCAAGTTGAAAAAAAAAAAGGAAGTCTCAAAACCAAGGCAATAGAGAAATCAATCTACAGCCCCATGGGTCAGTGCTGATCTGAGATTCCCTCTAGTCTCTGTGGTCAAGAATAGCCCACATGAGCCTGGGGTCAGGCATTCCCTGTCCATCGGTTGGGCTAGGGCCCCTCAGTTAGGCCTGAGGGTCTCAGCTCGTCACAATGCCAAGAATTAGTGCAGTGCAGAGACAGGTGTGAAGGGCACTCAAAGTGAGACTATCTGCCCTCAAATGAGAAGTCACAAAAGCTAAAGGTTTGCATGCAGGCATTTACTTACCCATGTTTTATATTTAACAGATTAGAATATTCTACCTGATACACAGGAAATCCTTCTGTTCATGATTTTTTTTGTCCCCTGTGCTTGGCATTCATTGTACCACCACCACTACCTTTATACGCCCTCAGTTAACCCTGGGCAGTCCTCAGAAGAATTATCTTTAGATACCTTCTCAGCAGCTGGCTCAAATGTTCAACATTTATATGTCATGGAATCACAGACCTTGGAAACTCCTTAGTTCAAACTCCTTTTACAGAGTAGAAACTGAGGCTGACAGATGAAAAGCGACCAGGTTAGAAAGGCAGGTGCTAAAAGAGTTGTGGCCAGAATCTCAATTGTCTAATGGCCTCTCCCAGTAACCTTTCTCTTTAATATAAAGCACCACTTCAAAAACAGACAGCCAGATAAATCTAGGACATATACTTACTTGTCTTTTATGCACACTATATTAGTGAGGGTTCTCCAGAGAAACAGAACCAACAGGATGTGTCTATATATATAGAAAGAGGTTTATCATAAAGAATTGGCTCGTGCAATTATGGAGGCTGGCCACTCCAAAATTTACAGGGTGGGCTGACAAGCTGGAGACCCAGGAGAGCCAATGCTGAGGTTCTGGTACAAAGGCCAACAGGAGAGCAGATGCAGTTGTTGGCTAAAAGCTATCTGCTAGAAAATTCTTCCTTGCTCTGGAAATCTATTTTTGTTCTATTGAGGCCTTCAACTGATTGGATGAGGCCCATCCATGTTATGAAGGACAATCTACTCAAAGTACACTGATTTAAATGTTAACCAAACATTTGGTTAACCAAACATCTCCAAACACCCTCACAGAAACACCCAGACCAGTGTTTGACTGCACATCTTGGCCTTATGTGGCCCAGCCAAGTTGACACATAAAATTAATCATCATACATACTGTAGCTCAAAAGCACAGTCTGCAATAATTCCATCAACGCTTCAAAATTTACCCATAAAAACATCTTACTTTTCATGAAAGCTATTACTATACACAAATAGTTGAATGGAAGTCTCCGGGTATATGTGCTACAGACGACAGCAGGGAAGAATCAAGATTAATCTCAATTAAAGATCTATAACACATAGACACATGTGTGCATGGGCACACACCCTTGCAGCAGAAAGAAATGCAATCTAATAATCTATTTCACTGAAGGACAAAAGAGAAAACAGACTTAGACTGCGCAAGGGGTTTATGTGAGATATGGGAGTTGTTAACAGGCTTGTTCTGGGAGAATTGATGCTGGAATCTTGTGCTAAGGTTGCCAGATGGGGCCAGGTGACCTCAGGAAGTCTTTTCCAACCCAGATGATTCTGCGATCGTATTTCCACTGGAATGAACAGCCCTCAAGAGACTGTTCCTCATAGCAAATAAGGAGAGAAGGGTGTTGGGGCCAAAAGATCTGAGGCATACATTCAATCGTCTCAGCTTCCCACTGCAGATTCAACAGGAAAAACTGCTCTTCCAATTCTCTGCCCAAAATAACTGTTTGGTGTTGTTGATGAAGAATGACTGGCGTGTTCCAGCCCAGTACATTTCAGCAGTGGGTAAGTGACACCTCTGCATATACTCTGCCAAGATGTCTTTCAACAAAGACAAAGCAGGAATAAAAATGTGAAGAAGTCACCGGATGCCTGAATTTTCCTGCCTAATTAAGCTTTAAACTCCACAACTAGATTGTTTTCAGCATAAAGTAAAACATTTGCATACACTTAAAAACACTTTTTAAAAAATGACGTACTTGTGTTACTCTTAAAAATAATAGATCATCAGCAAAACCCAGATCCCCGAAACTGTATAAGACACACGATCCAGTTTCAACAATGAAACAATGATGACCAAAAAATGGCAAGAAAAAAAAACAGAAAAGAGGAGCACCTACAGGTCAAAACACATAAGCAATGTTTCAGCCATGCACGATGTGTAGACCTTATTTGAATCCCCACTCAGACTGACAAACTACAGAAACAAATTATAAGGCGATTGGGGAATTATGAATGCTGATTAGATATTTGATATTAAAGAACTGTTAATTTTTAAGTGTTTGTATTGAGCTTCAGTATACAAAAATTCTTGTATCTTTAAGAGATACATAATGAAATATTTATAGGTGAAATGATATGTCTTGAATTTGCTTCAACATAATTCTAGGGCAAAGGAAAATGGGCAGAGGCACAAATGAAACAGAATTGGTCATATATTAACTACTGTTGAAACTGGGTGGTGGTATATCTAGGTTTATCATACTACTCTATCTACTTTTATATTTACTAGGAAACTTACTAATAAAAAGTTTTAAAATAGGAAACAAATTATTTTTTTCCTGAAATTTGGGGTTGATATATTCATTTAAATTCTGAGCAGAACATAATAAAATATCAATGATTTCCATAAAAGGAAATGTTTTTTACAAATCATGCCAAATCTGGAGTGGTTACTATACTTAATACTGAACAGAGCGCCTGGGAATTGGGGTAAGGGACAGTTTAGTAAAGAAACTAAAGGAAAGAAACTTAAGTTTGATGCTTTTAGTCTTTTTTTTTTTCTTTTTATGAGATAGAGGAATAGCTGTTACGTCCAAAATAGAATCAGAATCCTGTTTCCATTTCCATCTACTTTTATATTTCCAAAGGACTAAAAAAAGGATGCTGCTCACTAGAGCTTGTTTATTTCTACCATTAATTCACCAACTCTACACTCAAAACCAAGAAGAAATAAACCGGGTTAGGAGTCCCAGTTGTGACTACCCTGCCAGGGCAATGTTTTATCTGAGGACAATCAAACTGATGGAATGATGTGAGTGTCCAACACATTAAGGACATCGATAATTAGTCCTCCGGAGAATTATCTTCTAAGGGGATAAAAAAATGTAAGAGTGTATAGATGAAAAGGAAGATAATATAATTGTGACTTATGGTGATCTCCATGAGATGAACTCTGACAGGAACAGAATTACTTTACTAGCCTAAACTGAGAACTTTTAAATTTAGATAGTGTTCTCAGACAGTGGGAAACTCTGAGGATGCCATCCAAATGGATTCACAGCACACTACGAAGAGCACAGCTAGAAGATATCATGTTCCCCCTTTATGTTAGAAACCAAAAGCTCATGGATATTTTCCATTTCAGCCAATGGGACACAGTAAGCCTATGGTGCACAGCCATAGGACAGCTTTCCTCCAGGAAGTGATGCATCGGTCTCAAGAGGAGGGTGTACATGACCAGGGCATCATCTTACTAAGTCACTGAACAGGCTCAGTCTGTTTGGGTTCCTTACCTATATGCTCCTAGAAATGCTCCTAGCATTTCTGGAAGAGAGCGACAACACTATACAAGCTTGTCAATAGAATAATGGTATTTTTCTTGAGCAAGGGTTCTTAGCCTGAAGGCCTTCAGCATCCGTGAACCTCCCCAAAACCTTAAGTAAATGAGTCTGTAGACATTGTCTTTTGATGAGAAGGCCTGTAGCTTTTCCTTGGACTCTGAAAGGAATCCATGGAACACAGACAAAAGAAACAAAAACACTGTTATAAATGACTGGTAATAAGGACTCATGATACATTCCTTATGATAACATTTCAGAAACCATCCAGAGCGGTTTTGAGGAATGGGGACAAGTCCAAATTGACCACTCTGTGCCACAAGATCTTCTGGAGGACTGGTAGAGATGATAATGGCAGTAAATCCAGAAGCTGGCAGCAGCACAGACAAAAGTATCAGTAGATTTCAGGCAAGGATGGAGAATGAGGGGCCTAGCAAATGCAACCTGCCTGATCCAGTCTGGTGATCTCACCTGGCCCTATTTTTCAGATGAATCAGGCAACGGAGACCCACAAAACGTAAGTGAATTAAGTTTACTTAAGTTAATTCACTTAACATACCAGTTAAGGGAAGAAATGAGCCTAAGTCAGTGGCATTTCAATTCCTGCTCCAATCCCCCCCCTTGCCATTCAACCAAAAATAGCCTATGGTGCTTGGTTAATTCATACCAGCAATTTGGGCCTCTCAAGATCATTAATTCACCTGCTTTTCACTTCCTAGTCACTTGTGTGTTACATGCCAGGTGGACTCAGAGGGAGGTAAGTTATTCAAGCTCTAACACACTGTCTCTCTGGGATGTATCTCGTTTATAAGTTTGACCCCAGGTTTATGGCTCCTGTCAGCTGCTTACTTGGGCAGTGAGTCAAATCCCATTAATCAAGCCCTAACCTACCCAGTACACAAAATGCTTTGTTAGTTAATCCTTCTATCCTCAAAGGAAAAAGAATTTAAATCTGACCAAAGTCATCAACTCATTCCTAACAAATCTTCAAAGTGTTAACAAAGTCATCTTGCCTGCAAATAATAACATGGAAATGCCCAGGTAAAGAAGGGGGTTCTGGGAGTTACACAAAACTGCCATATAGGGAGGCATCATCTCACTGATGAGCTAAAAAAGCATACCACGAGATCAAGGACCTGGCTTCTCCAACATGACCCTTTACTACAAACAGTTTCTCAGCTTCACCCTCTTTTCTATTCTATTTTTTTGATCCTGCTGTGATAGCTTTGCAGTCCTGGTGTGGGAGGCGGTGTAGAAGTGGGCTGGCACAACCACAAGTAAATTCTGCTGAAGAGAATAAATATATCCGCAGACAAGGAGAAAAAAATCTCACAACTTTTCTGAAAATGCCTTTAAAGGATCCTTCATTTTACAGATAAGGAAAATGAGGACCGAAGAAGAGAAGGGCCTTGTTTCAATTCACAAAAGTAGCAAGTTAGTGCAGAACCGGAACTACCGTTCAGGTTACCGGATTCCATTTAAGTATAATGTCCCTGGCACCAGATTCCCTCCCAGCCTGTTATATTTGAGTTTACCGCTCTGGCTCTAGTGACAGTATTACACTGACGTTGTCTTCTTTCTTCCTATTTTTCTTCTTCTCTTCCAGACTCCTGTTGATTGTTTTCCTATTGTGATTTTAATTATTTTTCCTCTAAAAAGACATAGAAAATTATTCTTCAAATTTAACTTCATGTTATCCTCAAAAATGTTCTCTGACTTAACAGAATCTGCTGTTTTTACTAGAGAAAAACAGAATATCTTATTGGCTAGGAAAAGGCAGTTGTTTGAATTAACATTGACTTAATGGAGTGTTATGGTAAACTTAAGTCCTTTGTATAGCATTTGAAAGAAAAGTCATGGGGACACAAAGAGAAAAGAAAGTCCATGAAGCCTCAAGAGTACTGCTTATGCCATTTTCAAAGAATCTCTAGAGGCATTTTTCCATTCAAACTGTGAAACCCTCTCACTAAAAGAAGAGATTTGTCATTCAGCAGTACCATCTTTTAAATGCCTAAAACCAATGATCAAACTACATTATATTTCCTCCTGCAGTACCCTCTCTTACGGCCAAACAAATCTCACAAAGCTATTGGAAAAAAGAGGGCTAAGTACCAGTGAATCCAGGTAAAAGCTAACATCACCACCACAGACGTTTGCCAGTTTCCCGGTGAAGCTGGGCTTCTAGATGTGAGCCCCCTCAGCAGATAGTATTAATCACTCACATTTAGTTAATGAGCCAGGCCCATATCTATAGCAGCAATATGTTTCTATCTTCCAAACCCAGTGGTCGCTTCTTCTCTTCTGATCTTACCACCAACATTGTAAAGTGGTTGCTATAAAATAGGAATTCAATAAATGACCTTGGAATTCCTGTTGAGATGCTCTCCTTGGAAATTCTCTCCTTGCTTGACTTCCATGATATTGTACTGTCTTAATCCTTCTTGCACTTCACTCACCTTATTAAGATGGGGTCTTGCTATGTTGACCAGGCTGGTCTCTAACTCCTGGGCCTCACGCAATCCTCCCACCTTGGCCTCCCAAAGTGTTGGCATTACAGGCATGAGCCACACGCCCAGCCTTGTGTCCTCTTCTTAACTCCTAAAATAGATCCACCTTCTCCCTCTCCCTGAATTGTTTTGTATGCTCCCCTAGTTTTAAATAAACATCTCCAACATTAGGTGTGAAACTATTAGAATTCTAGAGGAAAACATTGGAAATACTCTTCAAGACATTAGCCTAGGCAAAGAATTTATGAAGAAGACCCCAAAGGCAATCACAGCAGCAACAAAAATAAATAAATGGGACCTGATCAAATTAAAAAGCTTCTGCACAGCCAAAGAAACTGCCAAGAGAGCAAACAGACAACCTACAGAATGGGAGAAAAATTTTGCAAGCTACACATCCAATAAAGGGCTGATAACTAGAATCTATTTAGAACTCAGGGAAATCAGCCAGAAAAAATCAAACAACCCTATCAAAAAATGGGCAAAGGACATGAACAGAAACTTCTCAAAAGAAGACAGAAGAATGGCCAACAAACATATGAAAAAATGCTCAACATCTCTAATCATCAGGGAAATGAAAATCAAAACCACAATGAGATATCACTTAACTCCAGTGAGAATGACCTTTATCAAAAAGTTCCCAAACAATAAATGTTGGCATGGATTGCGGAGAGATAGGAACACTCCTACACTGCTGGTGGGACTGAAAACTAGTTCAACCTCTGTGGAAAGCAATATGGAGATACCTTAAAGCGATACAAGTAGATCTACCATTTGATCCAGCAATTCTACTACTGGGCATCTACCCAAAAGATCAAGAGTCACTTTATGAAAAAGACACCTGCACTCGAATGTTTATAGCAGCACAATTCACAATTGCAAAGTTGTGGAAACAACCCAAGTGCCCATCAATTCATGAGTGGATTAATAAAATGTGGTATATGTATACCATGGAGTACTATTCAGCTTTAAAAAACAATGGTGCTATAGCACCTTTAGTATTTTCCTGGATAGAGCTGGAACCCATTCTACTAAGTGAAGTATCTCAAGAATGGAAAAACAAGCACCACATGTACTCACCAGCAAATTGGTATTAATGGATCAACACTTAAGTGGACATATAGGAAAAACATTTATCGGGTGCTAGGCGGGTGGGAGGGGGAAGGAGGGGATGGGTATATACAAACATAATCAGTGAGATGTGCAACGTTTGGGGGATGGTCACGCTTGAAGCTCTGACTCGAGGAGGGGGTAGGGGCATGGGGAATATACGTAACCTTAACATTTGTACCCCCATAATATGCTGAAATAAAAAAATTTTTTAAAAAATCAGCAAAAAAAAAATTAGATAAAATTAAAAAGCCAAAAAAATAATAATAAATAAATAAAAATAAACATCTCCTCTGTCCAGAGGCCTCACAGTTTTGAACTTGATTCAACCCCTAACTGCACTCCAGATCCACTTTTCTCGCGATGGCCAGAGCATCACAAGTGAGGAGCCTGAATGCCCCTTCCAGTCCTTAAGTGCTGCCCGCATGTCCCATGGGACAAGGGACAGGATGCAGGCGCAACAGGGAGGAAAGCACAGGCTAAGGAGTCAACAGACCTGGGTTCAAAAAGAAGTTTGCACTTATACATGGTATGCTTCAGGACAGCTTTTTCAACTCTTTGAATTTCAGTTTCCTCGTCTATATAATGGGGGAAAACAAACTTCCCTGAAAAGTTGTTGTAAAGACTCAATAAATTTCCATTTGTAATGTATCTGGCCAGAGTTAAATTAAAAAACAAGTACTAGTTCTCTTTCTGAATGCGACAAATCGGCTTCTCCCGACAGCATCCATTTCTGTTAAAGCTGTCTTTGTTCTTCCTCACAGGCCCAAAACCCTGGAGTCAACTTTGACCTATCCCTCACCCCTTTCAATCAAATCAGGTGTCATAGCCTTCCCTTTCCTTGTCTCCTCTTTTTCCCATTGCCACCATCACTGCAGGAGACACCCTTACTAGTTACCTGCACCTACATGCCACTGCTGAATCAATCTGAAAACAGTTGCCACTTCATTTATCCTCTTGCTCAGAAATCGCCAAGTGATTCTACTATAAAAGCACAAACTCCAAAGTCCTCGACAAGGCAGCCCAAGCTCTCTTACTTTGCCTTAACCTCTGTCGCTACCCCCAGACCACCTGTGTCAATCTTGTCTCTATCTGTTAACCTGGGGCAACTTGCTCAACCTCTTTGAGCCTCAGTTTTTTCATCTATAAAATGGGGAAACCAAATGAACCTACCTTGTAGCACTTACTGTTAAGTGCTCAGATAGAACTATTATTATGTCACTTTGTATACTCTTTAGTATACTTTTCCTTACCTTATTCTGCCTAATATTAGTTTTGTAAATATAATCATACTTACAATAATCCATGTCTTATTGTTTGTCGGTTCTCCCTTTCCCCCACCACCTCCTGACTGTAAACTCCTTATGGGAACAGGTTTTGTTTTACTTCCCCACACAGTGGCCCCTCAAACATTTCTTGAAATGGATAAAATTAGGTGTGACTATTTCTCTCCCTGTGTCTCAAAAGGAAAAACTAAAAAGATGAGGAAATCCAGCGATCTGGTAAGATCACATCAGGTAAGGCAGAGCCATGGAAACAACCTAGCTCTCCTCACTGGATCCAATAACCTGCCAGCTTCAGGAGCCAAACATGCTTAATTGTCCTGCTAAATAGTAGTCACGATAGAAAGTAGCAATTAGCTTCAAAAGTTAGACGGTTCTCAAAAAGGAATTCCATGTCCCTTGGCCAAATGTCAGCACCCCCTGTTTTTAACAAATGGCCATGTGTAGCAGTTCTCCCTCCACTCCAAGCTTTTAACCCTCAATGCAGCTGCGCAAAGAACAGAGGTGGCACAGAGCTGTTTGTGTTTAAGGTGGTAAATGCTACTAGACCCTCCTACTCTGGCAGGACAACTGCTTCTCTCCCACCCAAGGAAAGATGAGATTGGCAATAAGAGAAATTAAATGATGAATGAAAAAAGACTCCAATACTCCACCTTTGTAAAGAAATTATATGAATCTAAATAAGAAGTTGCTGGGGTGGGTACAGGGGAGGGAGCATGTTCAAACACAGGAGAAATCTGCACTTAACATTAAGAGTGTCTATTCAGACTGAAGTCTATTCCCTGGCAGTTTTCAAAGGCTTTGTTTTTCTTTTCTTACTAAAACAAGAAAGGCATGGATTTCTTGATTTCTCTTCTCACCTATATACAATCATCAGCCTAGAAAACCCTTTTCCTAAGGGTCCAGAATTAAGCTGTGAAACAAACATATGCTCATAAAGAAGGCTGTAAAGATTACATGCCATATAGGAAACGGTGACCAGAAATATTTACCAAACCACCAATTCAATCAAAAACCACAAGATCTATTAGGGAGTGGGGAAACAGAAATAAAGAAATTCCCATAGTTACCCCAGGTTAGGTCAGGCTGTGGCTGCTGTCTAGTTAAATTTGATTGACATTTATGCTATTTTTTAAAACAAACTAAGGGTAAGGCAGGTGTTTCTTCAAGTTTATTTCACACTTTGATTGCTCATTTCTGGGCTAAACTGGTTTTATATTAAAACAGATCTGGCACACACACACACTCAAAAAAGGAAAAGATGGGGAAAGTTGATATATATAAAAAAGCATATCAAGAGCATGAGAAGGCTAGCCATGGACTGGGAAAAAATATTTGCAAAAGACTTATCTGAAAAAGGACTGTTATCCAAAATATACAAAGAACTCTTGAAACTCAACAATAAGAAAAACAACCTGATTTAAAGATGGGCAAAAGATCTGAACAGACACCTCACCAAAGAAGATATACATATGGCAAATTAGCACATGAAAAGATGTCCAACATCACATGTCATTAGGGAGATGCAAATTAAAACAATGAGATACCATCTATTAGAATGGCCCAAATCCAAAACACTAACAACACCCAATGATCTATCAAGCCATAAAAAAAGAGGAAACTTAAAATATATATATAAGCAAGTGAAAGAAGCCAATATAAAAAGGCTACATACTATATGATTCCAACTAGGTAACACTTTGCAAAAGGGAAAACTATGAAGATGGTAAAAAGATCAGTGGTTGCCAGGAGTCAGGGGAGGAAGGCATGAACAAATGAAGCACAGAGGATTTTTAGGTCAGTGAAATTATTCCATTCCATACTATAGTGGTAGATATGTGTCATTACACATTTGTCAAAACCCACAGAACGTACAACACCAAGGGAGAACCCTACTGTAAACTGTGGACTTTGGGTGACAATGACTTATTGATACAGGCTCATCAGTTGTGCCCCATGTACCACTCTGGTGCAGGAAGTTGATAGTGGGGGAGGCTGCACACGTGTGGGGGTACGGGGCAGGTAGGAACTCTATTTTCTGCTCAATTTTGCTGTGAACTTAAAACTGCTCTAAAAAATAAAGTCTACTTAAAAATATATATATGTGTATATGTATATATGTATAATCATTTTCCCAGCTTATATAATTTATAAGCATATACCCTTTCTCACACCTCATTGTAAAAAATTGGCAGTGCCGTCATTTTAGGAAAGACTTTAAATGAAATTTTTAATACTATAACACATTCATTCAACAAATATTTATGAAACCCTTACCATGTGTTACTCATTATTCAAGGTTCTATTTTGTGGAAATTACATTCCAATAAATTTTTTTGTTAAGTCCAGCTTTTCAAAACCATCTACTGTTACCAGCAATCATTGTCAATACCTGCCTGAGGGATTATAAAAACTAGCAGGAAAAACTGATTCTCTAAAATTCACGAAGGTTCTCAGGTAGGGGCAGGGGGAAAGATCAGCAACTGGAAAAGTCTCCTATAGTGCCCTGCCAAAACTTCATCAAGTCAAAGATGTGCTAACCACATGAATATTCACGGTGCTGAGACAGTGAGACCAAAGCAATACATTTCTTAGCAGATAAAATACAGAAAGAATAATTCCTACTTTGTAACTTATGGTGAGATCCTGATAAAGTTCTCAGAAGGAATAGATATATAATTCCTCTCTGAATAAAAGTAGGCCCTTTCTCCTTAACCACACATAGCAAATAACCACATAAGCTACATGCACAAGACTCAGACTTTAGCCTCTACAGAAAGGAGAAACCTGAAGTACCGCATGTGTTCCTCCTGCACACCTAGTGGGAACACTATTG